AGAAGCTTTTCAATGGAGCAAGATACGAGCAAGATTATGAAACATTTCTCCTTCTGCTTCTGGCTTATCCACCGAGCACGATGCCACCCAGGATTGTCATGTTCATGAATGATAGGATTTTGTCATTTTTTAAAAAAAAGATTTAATTTTACTTATTTATGCAATCAAGAACTGGGGAGTAGGCCAGTGCTGTGGGGATGAGAGGACTCACCAAAGACAGAGTGGGGAGCAGAACAGGCGGATCCACTGAAATGCACTGCTGAGGGGGCCAGCGGGGAGGCAGGAGAGGTCTGCTGCGGTGGCTGGTGATGACTCGATAGAGCTGAGATTTTTTTTTTTTTTTTTTTATAAATTTTATTGTTATATTCCCCATACAATTGCCGCCCCCCATTCTGACCCCAATCCCTCCCCTCCCGCCCCCGCCCCCCTAAAAGTGTCTCTGGTTCATAGTTTTTTGTTGATTTTGATTTTCACTTTCTTATAGTTTTTCATTTTCCTGGTCCCTTATTTAAGTTTTCTAGATTCCTGCTATGAGTGAGACCATCCGGTATTTTTCTTTTTCTTTCTGGCTTATTTCGCTGAGCATGATCCCTTCCAGCGCCATCCATGTTGCAGCAAATTGCATGTGTTTATCTTTTTTGAATGCTGAGTAATATTCCATGGTATATATGTACCACATCTTCTTGATCCAGTCATCTATTTTTGGGCATTTGGGTTGTTTCCAAAGCTAAGCTATTGTAAACAGTGCTGCTATAAACATAGGGTGCAGGTGTTCTTTGGAATTGATGTTTCTGTGTCCTTTGGGTAAATACCTAGGAGTGGAATTGCTGGGTCATATGGAAGCTCTATGTTTAGTAGGTCCAGAAATCTCCACACAGCTTTCCACAGTGGTTGGACCAGTTTGCACTCCCACCAACAGTGCAGAAGAGTTCCTTTTTCTCCACACCCTCGCCAACATTTGTTGTTGCTAGTTTTTTTAATATGTGCCATTCTCACTGGTGTAAGATGGTATCTCATGGTAGTTTTGATTTGCATTTCCCTGATGACAAGTGATGTTGAACATTTTTTCATATGCCTGTTGGCCATTTGCATTTCCTCTTCAGAGAAGTTTCTTTTAAGTAGAGCTGAGATTTTAACCCCTGCCCCAGCAGGGGTTTTATCATTTTATCCAGGGTTTTATCATTTTTAAAGGCTTACTAATATTCCATGACATAGATAACATATCACATTATGTAACACAGAGGAAATACATGTACATCACAAGGGTGTCAGAATTACAGTCACGCTGATAATGAGCTGCCTCCACATCTCTACCCACGTGTATGCCGACATGCATAGACACCTTCAGTGCACACTTATGGCTTGTCCCCAGATAAGGTGCCCCTCAGACTGAGGCTTGGGGTTTCATCTGCAAAATGAACCAGTGCTCTCTGCTCCCAGGACTGTGAATTGTGGGTGATACACGGACACAGCTCTGTGGGGCCGCTGCCCTATTCCTGCTCCGGCTTTGTTTTCCTGCTGGGGAGAGTCTCAGCCCTGCTAGCCTTGGGTGACAGCAGGAGCAGGGCTGTGTGTGTGTGCTCTCAATAGCCTGCATCAGGGGACCCTGAGCCAGCAGACATCCTTGGTCCCCCAGCCACGTGCACACCCCACTTCTCCACAGAAGCTGTACCCGTGGCCACATGGTGTTCGCGGAACACAGCACAGCCTGCTTCCACGCCACACAGCCCCTGCTCTTGCTTTCAATTTCCCGAAAACCTCTGGCACTGCGGGGACAACTCTAGAATCTGAGAAGAGGCTCATGCAAGACAGGAATGCAAGCCTGGGTTCCAGAAGAAACCGTGTCCGTTCTAGATGAGGGATGGCCGGGGTCTGTCTCTGAGACCACAGTCCCCACTCCCACCTGAGCATCCGCTGAGACCCGGGAGGATGAGAGGAGACTAGGAGACCCCTGAGGACAGTCCTTTCGAAAACAAGCAAGAAGCCCTCCCCGAGCGCACATTCTGTGATAATTTACACTGATTCACGGCAGAATATTTAATGCAGAAAGATGTACTGATGTGAGCATTATAGTTTCCATGTTAATAGAGGACTGATAAAATCTGAAACTGTAATCTCTAAGAGAGAGAAAACAGGGTTTCACAAATGGATTTTCAGCTAGAAAATGAAAAGGCCACAGGATGGCAGTGAAGGCTGCGAGATGAGGACCCGGCACAAGCTGATGAGCCCTGAAAGCTCCGAAGTCTTTTGGTTACACACAACAGCATCTGATTATAATCTGCATTCCACTCTTAAAATCAGACATAAGACCAAAGAGGAAACCTTAAACCTTAAACACTAAAAATCCTCAATTCTTTTTTTTTTTTTTTTAAGATTTTGTTTTTTTATTTATACAAGAGCCGGGGTACAGGCCAGAGGCGCGGGAGGGTGAGAGGATTCACCAGAGACATAGCCAGGGAACAGAACAGACCAAAAGCACTGCTGAGGGGAGCAGTGGGTGAGGCAGGAGAGGTCTGCTGCACTATGTGGGACTCTCCCTGGCTGGCCGGGAATCGAACCTGCGCTACAGAGGCTGCGGACAGCTTCACAGCGCTGCGCTCAACCCGCTGCACCACTGGGAAGGCCCTAAAAATCCTCAATTCTTAACTAAAATGGGTCGCCTCTGAGGCTACCAGCAGGGGAGGGTGAGGGTGGTGGGCAAAGTGTGTGGGGAGCACGAGAGTGTGGTGGAGACTGTGGTGCCTTGGAGGTGAGTGTGGGTCCCTAACACCCATTTCAGAGGGGTGAAGCTGTACCTCTACCCACACATGGAGCGGTAGACCAGTGTTACCCAATGACAAATCATGCAGTTATAACAACCATGCAATTGGTTTCCTCGGGTGAAATAATACCCAACGTGTGGCTGTGGCATCTTAACGATTCTGGGCCTGCTGTTCCTCTGTCTCTCAGCTTGCACCAATATTATTTCCAGTGAGTCAGGAGTCACCAAGTCACATTTCAATGGGAGTTTAAAGCGAGCTCTCCTGTCCCGTTCTTGACCTCAGTGCCTGGTGCTTATCCTCACCCCAGCCCCTCCAGCCGAGGTCATCAGTCATCTCACAGACAGGCTTGAAGGCCCCACTCACTCTGAAAATGATCCTCAAGTTCAAAGTCTTGGTGGACATCATGTGCCTGTTGAATTTCAGGTTCAGAACAGAAGCAGGAGGCTGCGGAGGCCTTTAACACGGACGCCTTGTCCAAGGAGAAGGGGATGCCCAGGTCAAGTCTCAGGATGAGGGTGAGTGGCTCTCACGTCCATGGCGTGCCCACGGCTCATTCTGCACAGTGGTGTCGGGGTGGGGTGTGTGTGGGGTGAGTGTGTGTCAGTGTGTGTGGGGGTGGTGTGTGAGTGTGTGTGTGTTTTTGGGTATGAGTGTGTGTGTGGCTGGGGGTGTCAGTGTGTGTGAGTGCATTTCTGTGAATGTGTCAGTGAGTGTGCGGGGTGGGGTGGGGTGGGTGTGTCAGAGTGTGTGAATGTATGTCCGTGAGTGTGTGTGTCAGTGAGTGTGTGGTGTGGGTGTGTCAGTGTGTGTGAGTGTGAGTTTGTGAGTCAGTGAGTATGCGTGTGGGCTTGCATGCCATCACAGGCAGGGTCTTGCAGGGAGTAGTGGGTGGAGGCGCGTCCCTCCCAGTGGGGACATAGGCAGAATCACATGACACAGGTGACAGCAGCTGTGCGAGGCCTGTGCAGAGTGAAACTGGGGGGAGCAGTGGGGTGAAGGCCTTCTCTGCCCAGGACGCCCAGGCCACCTTGAGAAGCGCGTGAAGACCTCAGAGGCTGCAGAGCGCCGCAGGGAAGCCAGAGTGGGGGGCCAGGTCCAGGGAAGCCTGATAACCACTGGGGTCCCCACCACAGGCGGCCCGGCCTCTGCAGAGGCTGACACGGAGCACCCGCGGCACTGAGAAGTGTTCAGAGGCTGGGGGGACAGGCATAGAGACGCCCTCTCGCAGCACAGTCCCCAAGACCATGCAGCAGCACGTGCACATGAGGGCGCCAAGGGGGTGCCCCGGCACCATCTGGGGCGCTCGGCGGCCAGAGGGGGGCACCTGTGTGCAATGAGCCAACACATTCCCCTGGCCGTGCCAGGGAGAGGAAATGCCAGCACGTGCGAGCTGGAGTCTGTGTCGTCCAAGCTCACGAGTGTTCAGGAAGGTAACACCAAACATCAAGCCCTTCGCGTCCGTAGGCCAGAGAGAGCTTTGACAGAAAGGGCCGTGGCCCCAGCTCATGCGTGGTGTCCACGTCTCACCAACACGCGAAAGAAACAAGGTCACCCCAATAGCAGATGCGCTTTAGTTTGAGCCTCCCTCCTCCCTTCCCTGAGGAGTGTTCTGTGGCAGCACCCCTGCTCTGGCGATCCCCCGTGGGCAACTTGATGTTGGCGTGAAGGCAGCGGAGGCACCACAGAGACTCGCACTCCTTCAAACCACCATGTCCACAAGGGCCTCCGGGGGTGTCTGCACAGAGCTGTCACCTCACACAAAAGGTCTGGGTCGCAACCCTGCAGGGACCCTGATAATAAAGGGAAGGTTGTGGGGCTCAGAGGGCGCGGGCACCCTCTGGATTTAGCTCCTCAGGATGCTCTTCGTGATGCCAGTTGGATGATGGGCTAAACCAGATCGCGTGGTTGAGCTGAGGAGCTGGAGACTCCGCTGCAGGCCTCACGGCATGTGGTGACTAGAGAGGGAGAAACTGAGTCCCAGGAAGGTGCACTGAGCCCGACTGTGTGTGGGGCGTGGCCCCAGCCTTCCGGGTGGGATGAGGCCGATTCACAGAACAGAACAGGAGGGGAGCCATGGAGCTGACGCGCGTGGTGGGGAGGGGAGTCCCGCGTTTAATGACAGGAGGGTCCAGACCTTCACCTGCTCACGGAAAGGACCCTCCACCTCCCAGGGACCCGCAGACAGTCCCCGCGCTGCCCAGACCAGCTTCTGGCCTCCGGGCACAGTCACCTCCAGGCTCATGGGCTCTGGCCGGGGCCTTGTCCCCTCCCGGGCCCCCCTCCTGCCCCGTCTCGGGCCCTCCTGTGGCTGTGAAGAGCCTCCAAGAGCAGGACCCCCAGGGCCAGCAGGAGGAAGGCGGCCACGCCCAGGCGGATGAGGTTCCCCAGCGTGTATTCCTGGGGGCGCGGGGCTGGGCCTGGGGGAGAGAACACGCAGGTCACACAGGGGACCAGGGCACCTCCCGTCAGGACACGGGGTGAACGTGGGGAGGGTCCTTCTCCATCCGACCAGCCCCTCCCTGCGGGGCTGCAGACTCCTCTGCCCTGGCAACCCTGGTCCGCGCGTCCTGGCCCTGACTCTCCCTCCCGGGCGGACACTCGCAGCCGCAGCCCCACGAGCAACGCGACTGTCCTGACCGGCGGGGACACGAGAGGGACATGAGGCTGCGTGTCTGCCGCCTCAGCGTCGGGTCTGTGTGGCCCGTCTACACGGGCCTCTGAGGGGTCCCAGTGACGGTCCCGAGGGAGACGGGACGGAGCCGATTCCTGGACAGAGGAGCCGAGAGGAGCCGGGACCAGACGGGCGAGGCTCAGGCTGCGGGACGGGCAGGTCCCTGGAAGGTCTTGGCAGCTCTTCACCAAGGAAAGAGCCACCTTTGTGAGATGTGGGGTGCAGGGGAGAGGGGGGCTGACTCTGGGGCTTCTGCCTTGAGAGAGACCAGGGGGACAGGACAGACGTGGAGAATCACCTGCTCCTCCTCTTCCCTCATCCCATATCTCCTCCCACCCTCGCCTGGGCTGCGCCCGCCTCTGTGGAGCCCCCGGGGCCTCAGTTATTACTGTCTCAGAGCCCCGAGGACAGGACCTGCGTGACCGGCAGAGAGGACAGGGAAGGGCCTCACCTGATGCCAGGAGCTCCAGGGGCTCACTGGGGTGTGACAGCAGGTAGGGGTCCCTGCCGAGGGAGCTGTAGCACCTGTAGGTGCCCCCGAGGGCTGAGGTGGCAGGACCCAGGGAGAATCCCGCCTGGAACTTCTGAGCTGTGCGCTCTGCGGTCAGACGCAGGGGGGGCTCAGCGGCCCCCTCCTTGGACAGAAGGAAAGTGTCCCTCGGGCCTCGGGACTGACACAGCAGGGTCACGTTCTCTCCGCGGGTCACGTTGGGGCCCGGGCTCACGGACAGGGAGGGGGTGTCAGGGAGCCATCCTAGAGAGAGGAGGGGAGAGGGCTGGCCCGCCGTGTTCTGGGGACCCTCATCTCTGTGTGTCTGAGTCTTGGGGTCTCCGCTCTCCCCACCTCTCCTGTCTCCCTCCCTGGGGACCCCATATCCCTCCTCCTGTCCCTCACCCGGGGTCCCCAGCAGGGTCTGTGCTGATGGTGGGTCCTGACCGGCCCCTGGCTCCTCACCTGCCACCAGGATGTCCAGGGGGTCGCTGGGGGCCGACCACTGGGCGGAGAGGCTGTGTCCCCCGTAGCATCTGTACCGGCCCCCGTGGAGGCGGCTCACCGGGCCCAGGGGGAAGTGGGCCTGAGACAGCCCAGCTGGGGACCCCCGGCCACGGCTTTGCTGGAGGTCACCGGCCCCCTCCCGGGCCAGAGCGAATCTGTTGTAGCCAACTTCAGAGCCACACTGGAGGGTCAGGGTCTGTCCATAGGCCACAACAGGGCCCTGCGGGGACAGGAGCATGGGCTTCCCGGACCGACCTGGGGAGACACCAGGGATGGCAGGGCCGGGTGCTCATCAACCCCTTCTCGTTCCTGACCCCAGTCACTGTCTCTCTCTCTGTGTCTGTATCCAGGAGTCCCCCGAGTTACCTCGCCCTGGGAGCAAAGTCCCTAGTGCCAGAATGGGACCCTCACCTGAGACCAGGAGCTCCAGGCGCTCACTGGGAAGTGACCACACCTGGGGGGTGTTGTTGAAATACCCATAGCACCTGAACAGCCACCTGTGACTAGCGGTCACAGGGCCCACAGGGAACAGGGCCTGGAACTGCCCACTGGGGAGTCGCTGTGAGTCCAGGGTCCAGGAGGAATTGTGTTCTCCTTCCTCAGTCAGACGGAACCTGTCAAATTCCTGGCCTGAGCCACACTGGAGGGTCATGTTCCCTCCTGAGACCACCACAGGGCTTGGCAGGGCTGAGAGGCTGGGTTTGGCGTAAGATCCTAGGAGAGGGGGAGGGAGACAGTGTGTTAAATGGGGACACTCCCACCACATCCCCCAGGGCGGCATCATGAGAGGGGAGACACCCCGAGAGCAGACCCCCTCCCTGAGGGCAGAGCCTGAGGCTGGACCCAGAGTGTGCTGGACCCTCACCTGTCACCACCACCAGCTCCAGGGGGTCACTATCCTGTGACCAGCCAGTGGGGCTGTGATAGAGACAGAAATATCTCCCTGCGTAGTCAGGTGTCATGTGTAGGATGGGGAACCGGGCTTTGTTCCCAGGTTCCAGTGATATCCGTCTGTCCCAGGAGCCTGAGCTTTCCTTTCTATACAGACGAAACTCCTTGGCCCCCAGTGCCCCCTCACACCAGATGGTCACAGGATCCCCCCAGGTGATCACAGAGCCTGGCTCAGCCCAGAGGGTGGGTTTGGGCAGGGCCCCTGGAAGGAATCAGAGGCTGGTCACAGGCAACCCCACCCCAGTTCCCAGCCCTCAGCCCAGCCCCTCCCAGATGTCCCCTCCATCACCCCAGACCTGCTGTCTCCACCCCGAGCTGCCCAGGGGTGGCCCCTCCCCAGTGAGGAGGCGGGACCCGGGACACCTGGGCACAGACTCACCTGCCTGCTCTGGGGTCCCGGGGCCCACACTCAGCCCTGGAAGAGAGGCCAGTGAGAGGCCTGCCCCAAGTCCTAACAGAGCCTCCTCCCGGAGCCTCCTGAGTCCTGGGTCCCCTGACAGACCAGGCCTGGCCGTGGGGTCCCTCCAGACCAGGGCTCCCCTCCCTCCTCACACTCACCCAGGCAGAGCAGGGCCGTGAGGCTGGGGGTCATGGCGTCCTCTCTGTGACCTGGCTGTGGGGATGGAGGGCCCAGGGTGCTGGCAGGATGGACAGACACACGGGTGGCGACATTGGTGGTTGTTCCTTCCTGTCATGGAGTTGTCACATCATCTCCCCACAGGAAGAGGAACTGTCCCCCAGGTGCCCAGCTCTGGTTTTATCTTTACTGAGGTGCCCCATGTGTGGAGGCAGACCTATGGCGTGTCCTCCCTCAGAGCCTCCTCCCAGGTCTCCTCGCTTTCAGCCTGTCCACCAGCACATCCTGTGGTCTTCACCCTGGACAGGGTCTCCAGGCCCTGGAGTTGGTCAGGGAGGTTCCCTGCTGCCAGTAGAGCTGAGGTCATGAGGCCCCCATTATCATCCTCCTGAGCATCAGTCCAAATCAGGTGATGACCAGCCCAGGTGGACACTCAGGGACACAGGGAAAGGCTGGGCCTCTCCTGCCTACGTGTGGCTTCTCTGTTCACAGCCCCTCACCACTTCTCTGTTTTTTCTTGCAGCAGCCTCCACCCCCACCACCCTGGGAACAAGCCTGTGAGTGACACCTGTTCCCTGGGGTGCCCCTGCCCTGGGCAGACCCCCTCCCTTCCTGGGACTTTGTCATAAAACTTATGGGACAGCCAGTGGGTTAGGACTTGAGTAGTCTAGGAAATTTAATCGTTAATTCATTGTTTGTCTACAACCCACTCACTGTGTGAACTGAGTAAATTCACGGTCCAATTATTTTCCCATTTGTCAATGTTATTTCATTGTTTATTTGCTAGACTGGAAGCTGATTTTTTTTCTTGAATCACCGTTAATTTTTTTACTGGCCTATGACCATGTTTGGGAATAGTCTGATGAAGAAAAACATCTGTAAGATTAATCCATACACAATAATTAATTCAAAGTGGATTAAGGATACAAGAAATGAAGCCATAAAACACTTAAAAGAAAACATGGGACACCCTCCAGGACAGCCCAGAGCCGGCCCTGGGGACACAGCACAGCAGCAAGGGAGGTGGAAGCAGATAAACCAGCGGGATGAAGTAAACTAAAAACTTTTTGAACCTAAAAGAACCGTAGGTCTGCCTAAAAATCACAGAAACAAAGAGGAGCCTGCAGACGGGTGGACGATAGTTCCCAGAGCATGTGTCAGGGGTTCATCCCAAATATACACCCCAATCAAAATGAGCAGATGCCTAGATAGACATTTGTCATTTATTTCTTTAATGTGAAGGATTTTTAATAGAGTTGGAGTGGAGAGAGAGAGAGAAAGAGATTTCAATAATGTTCAAAGATGATAATGGTTTTCTATTTATTGAGACTGAGGAAAAAAATGTGTGAGATAATATTCCCTTAGAAAAAGCCCACGAAGGGCCTCCCCTGGTGGTGCAGCGGTTGAGAGCTGGGCTGTGAAGCTGCCCGCAGCCTCTGCAGCGCCGATTCCTTCCCCTGCCGGAGAGGGTCCCACATGGTGCGACAGACCTCTCCTGCCGAACCCGCTGCTCCCCTCAGCAGTGTACTTCCTCAGTCTGCCTGTTCTGCTCCCCGCTCTGGCTCTGGTGAATTCCCTCACCCTCCAGTGCTTCTGACTGTACCCAGTGCTTGTATAAACAAACAAACAAACAAACAAACAAATCTTTAAAAAAAAAAAAAGCCCACTAAGATCTTCTCTGAAAGGATTTCAACCTAAAATGGAACAGAGGACGTGGAGAATCACCCAGTCGTCCTCAGAAAAGCTCGGGTGATGTCTGCGAGGGCCTGATTCAGAAGACAGAGACGCGCCCCTGACCCGGGATCCCCACCCAGGGCACGCCCCTCCCACGCCAGGGAACTGGCTCTTGGCATCCGGCTGGACCCTCCCGCCTCGCTCTCCCGTCCGTAAACGCCAGTGGCCTCTGTGGCCTGGGTGCTCCCGGGGAGGCACAGCAAATCCAGCGGAGGGGGAAGCCGGGGACTGAGCCCTCAGCCCACGCGCCCGGAGCCAAAGCCCGGGAGGAGGCCGCCGCGCGCCCCAGCTGCGCCCTCGGGAGAGGCGCCCCCGGCGTGGGCCCGGGCGGTGCAGACGCGCGCCTGGAACGGGGACACGGAGGTGGCGCGGGGTGAGACACTGCCGGACCCAGGGCGGACAACGCAGGTATTCGGCTCAAACGGGGGTCAACCTTCGGGGAGCGGGATGGGGGCTGCGGGTGAGTGAGGGGTCAGGCCTTTCCGCCATTAGCAGCGTGGCCGGCACCTGCGGGCTCGCGCGCACCTGTGATGATGGAGCCCTGGGCCCGGGTGCCTGGCGTGCCCGCACGTAATGGAGACTCCTGTGCCGGGGCCCAGGGCGCATGAGGGCGCGTCACCCTGAGGCGGGACCCCAGGACAGGGCAGAGAGCCGGAGGACACTGCGCGAGAGCTGGTCGGTCCCTGACTCAGCATTGAGGCTGTCACTAGGTACTGAACGCTCGAAATTCTTTTTCCTCTGCGAAAACTGACCATGAACCTACCCAGCCTGGGGTGGCTGCAAAACAGGGACCCCGGAGAAGGTCAGGGCCATGCAGGGCTGCCTGCTGGGTGTCCATGGGGCAGGTGCCTCTGCTCCCACCTTGAAGAGGCTTCCAGCGCCCCAAGGGTGCTGCCCCCAGAGCAGGGGCACCCAGGTTCATCATGTTTCATAAATGGTGGATAGTTTTGTCATTTTGAAAAGATTTATTTTTATTTGTTTATGCATTCAAGAATTGGGGTGTAGGCCAGAGGTGGGGGGGTGAGAGGATTCACCAGAGACAGAGTGGGGAGCACAACAGGCGGATCTACTGAAATCCACTGCTGAGGGGAGCGGCCGGGAGACAGGAGCGGTCTGCTGTGCATGTGGGTAGCTCCCTGGCCGGGTTTGAACTCATGCGACAGTGGCTGGCAATTGCTTGATAGTGCTGAGACGTTAAGCCCTGCACCACTAGGGAGGCTCCCAGGATTTTATCACTTTTTAAGGCTTACTAATATTCCATAATGCAGGTAATATATTGCATTATATAACATAGAGGTAATATGTGTACATCACACGCATGTCAGAATTGAGAGTCACATATGACAGTCGTCTAGCTATCTCTGCCTTATCTACATCAGTGCTGACATGGATACAAACACCTTTTTTGATCTGTTCATCTTCAGTGCACACTTATGGCTTCCATATTTTGATTACTTGTTACTATACCTTTTCATCTACTGTCATGGGGTGACGGCTATTCTCTTCCTAAATTCTCTGGATGTTCAGATTTTCAGGTTTTCTTCTGTGCCTAATAATTTCATTGAGACAACTTTTCCATCCAGTCTTGGCGTATACCATCTGTACTACCGCTTAAGCAACAATGTGCTCCTATATAAAGCCTGCGTTATCGCTGACATAAAAAATCCTCTGTCCTCACTTGTGGTCATTCTGCTCTCCCTGTCGGCTGTTTAGCAGTGCATTGCTTTGTTTTAAAATGCGTAGGGATATTGTTTTCCTAGTCTGCAGAACTGGGTGACTTCTAGCCCCCTAGGACATCCTGTTTGCTTATGAAGGTGCCCAGGCTAGGCCAGTGGGGCGTGGCCATGGGAGCTGCCCCCTGCCTTCTGAGGCCCTGCGTCTTGTCCCTAGAGGGTGCGGTCCAGTTCTTCCCAGACTAGTGGACGTTCAGCGTAGCGTACACACTGGGCTCTACTGGGCGCTCCTCTGGTGGGGGTGCTCTCTCCCGTCTGCAGCAGTTCACCTGGGTATAGATCACCTTTGGGTCACCCTCAGATGCAGCATCCTGCGGGGAGAGAGTGCAGCTCAGGTATGTGATTGGGGTGGGAAGAAGTCAGGGTCCCAGAAGCAGAAAGCACGGCCTGATGGCCCTTCTGTCTGTCCCACCCACTTGTCTGTCCTTGGTGTGCATGTCGTCATTCATGCATACCCGCTCCGAGAGCCCCAGCAAATGTAGATTCCTGGCAAATGTTCTTGGCCCACTGAATGAGCGAGTGAAATAAGGTGGGGAAGATGAGGGTCTTGGAGGGCATTCATTTTTTAATTCTTCATTTGATGCCATATACATAGATTATCTGTCCATCTATCTACCTATATCTACACACACATAAATATTACGGCGAGAGAGACAGGGCAGTGACAGAGTGATAGACAGACATGTGTGGAGACAGAGACACAGGGAGAGATAACAGCCCCAGGAACTCATGGTCGCTGGGCTGGGGACAGACCATTAACATGAAAACAAGGCAGCTTGGGATGTTGATAGTGTCAGGAAGAAAGTAAAATAATGATGTGATACCTACATCAAGAGCAGCAGGAGAATTAAGGGCTAATATACAATTGTTAGAAAGAGGAGAAAGGCTGAAAAGCAGTGACATGAGAGATATCTCCGGTCAGGGGGAGTGACGGATCAGCATCTTCAGCCAGGTGACTGTGGTGGGGCCTCCTGTGGCCTCTGGGATGTCCGGCAGCCTCCCTGACTGCTAGATGCCATCGGCAGCCCCCACCCTGCAGCTAAGACAAAGAAAAATGTCCCTGGATGCTGGTGTGGGGACAAGGAAAGTATGGGGGGAGGACGTCTGGATTTTGGGGACCTGAATATGAGGAAGAGAGTGCTCCATGGGGAGACTTAAGGGCTGGACTCTGACGCTGTAATGCCCTCTGGATGGATAGGCCGAGATGGTTCACGGGAAGCTGGGTGTATGAGGCTGGGGGCCAGGAAGAGCTTGGGATGGAAATAGTTGTGGAATCCCGAGCATAGCGATGGTTCTCCTGGAATTAGATACCTCTGACAACATCAAATAGCGTTTCAGGGTGAGGTTCACACAAAAGCTGGTGGGCTCCTGTGGGAGTCGGAGCAAACACCCACCATTCCACCCAAGGCACATTATTGTGCAGGTTCACTGCGTGACAAACCCACTTCACATCAACCCGCACACCCGAGATTAAGAGGAACCAGAGGAAAATTTTGGAAGGCAGGCTGGCCCGGCGCAGGCGCGGTCTAGCCCCTCGAGGCCTTTGTG